TTTGGCACGATTTTCCTTCGTCAGCATCGTCATTGTGCGTTGCCATTCTTAGCACCACATTACAACTCGTCAAAGAGACAAGTGAAGTCGATCCTTTGACCAATCGTCTAGGAATGTACCAAGTCCATGGTCCGACACTGGAAATGATCATGCATACTATGGCCTCCGGACAAGATGCGTTCCTCTAGGTCTTACTGCCGATATGACCAAGTTGCGAAAACAAGGTCAAGCAACTACCAAGAAAGGTTTGCTTTTTTTCCTATTTTTGTGAATTTTCCTAAATGGTGCTTAATGGATGTGAAGAAGTCTGTAACTTGCTATCCTTTCCTATCAATTTTTCATTTGTAGTAAAATGTCGAGTCATTTTTAAAATATTTACACCATAATGCACACAGGTTGGTAACTCTTTCAATTCATTCTACTTGCATAATCTCCTTTCGAATATGAGCTTCTATTGGGAGCCAAAGAGGCCAGACGAAATCTTCTTGCCCTGATCGTGACTAGCCATTGTACTCTCCATTCAGCGACGAGCACCTCATTCGTATTCTCCTGCCTTCTCCTTCTGTCCCTCTGGGTTGTGTAGGAGGAGTAGAGCTGAATGAAGCAGAATTCTTTTTGGTTGCTGGTCGCTGGTGATTCCAGAAATCAGTAGTGAAATACTCACTTGTGTGTGTGCTTGTTTGTGTGTTCATTGTGTGATGGCAGACTTCGGCCTGGTTACTGTAACTAGGGGTAATTAGAGCAACACGCACTCACCTGTACATAATACTCGTAAGTCCTAGTTGCCAGCAGACAAGTCGACTGTTCTGAGATTCCGGCCGGTTTTCTCCTTTCCCGCTCATCTCATACAAATACACACACACACACACACATAAATACATATATATGGACTTGCTTGTCCTTTGCCACCCTGGCCAAGGTCCCTTCAGTGGATGTGAGGGCATTAGCACTTTCGCCACATGATAAAGAATGTCGTCATGTCGACATGTCGACATCTTCGTCGCCTTGAGGACACCTTGAGGGGCCAGCCTTAAACACAGTGTCCGTATGAATGCCGGCAAGGTCGATGTGAACGAGCAGGATAGAGTGTTTGGGAGGCAAAAAAGAGGCCAAACAAGCCCAAAAGCACGAGTGCTCATCTTCCCAGTCCAGGGGACGCAGTGAGTGGAGTGAGTCGAGCCAAGTCCTGGTGGACCGAAATGCGGATGGGCTATTGTTGGGAGCAAGTATTTGCAAGTACATCTGCAAATGCCCCTTTCTTGGCTCTCTTCGTCATGCCCCAAAGCCCACGAATCAGCCAAGCCATAAGAGTTGAAGGTATGCAGCAAGCGGGAGCGCGTAACGCATGTGAGGCTGCCCAACTTGGGCAAGTGGATTCCGAGGGGATCATAATCCCCGAGGAAGCCACCCCTCTGGCCGAATCGTGGGGCAGAAATAAGCCAATACGCGGGATGGGTGAAGAGCAGGTAGGCCCGAGCAGGGAAAGGGAAGAAGGGAAAAAAAGAAGACTGATGCGAGCCAAGATGGACGGTTGCGCGACCGGATTTGGTGAAGAAGGGCGGGCAAGAAAGATACAGAAGAGCAGGAGACTCGACTTAGCTGGATTTAGACGAGATCGCCGGGCCACGTCTGAGATGAGCCTGGGGATGGGATGTACAGATCCAAAAGCGACCGGAGTCTGGGTCAGCGTGACACTGCCACGTGGCGCGGATGCACCTCATTCCGGCTAATCCCCAGGCCTCTTACGCGTCACCGAGTCGCCGAGTGCCATCTTCGAGTGGTCGTTGGCCTACTTGCGGGTGGACTGTGTGTGTGTGTGTATGTGTGTGTGCATCGGTAGCATTGCCCCCACGTCAACCCATCTTTCTGTCTGCACGGCCAGTTATCATATCATCGGCATCAAGGCCTAGTTCACGCGAATCTCCAATCCGTCCATCCTCGCATCGAGTTGCTCATGCATGTAGGCATAAGCATACACACGTTCATCCATTCACTCTCTGTCACCGAGCTCCCCATTTATTGCCTCAGTTTCGCTCCTGTCTTTCAGCTTTTCTACTTTCTTCATGTGTATCTATTTTTGCACTCTCGGCGCCAATTACATCTTCATTCACAATTTTACATATTCATTCATTAAATCCATCCGTAAGATTGCCCTTAGCATCGCCCCCAAAAACCCAGTCTCATCCAAGCTGGTCTCATCAACACCCTCCAAAGGGATTCGATGCCGGGTTGTGGGTCATGACAGACATGGCATTCACTGCAAAACAGCACCCCCCAAAAATAGCCTTTATAGTGGGATTTATTTGCCCTATTTCGTTTAAGATAATGAAGAAATGGAATTCCAATTTTCCCACAATGTTATGAGTCGACTTCAGGTTTCCATTCCATTTACTTGTTTCTCAAAAGGTATTCTCATCCCAGCCGGGGCGGTTTGCAGTTTCGAACTCGCCTCAACTAGTCTCATCAGCACCCTAGCGGGACTCGAATTCAGGCTATGATAGTGCAGCGTATAGTCTCGACACGTTAACTACTACTCCGCGTTGCCTCTAGTGCCCCCAGGCCACAGAACAGACATGACTTTCAAGGAACGCCACGCAGGTTTTTACATATCACTTTCTGCAGGGGGATTGTGGAGGAAGCAAAGATTTAGTTGCTATTACAATCGACTAGATTAATTATTTTCGCTTATAATCAGGTTTTCTAAACTGTCAGTACATCAAATATATGAGAGGAATTCATCCTATTTTGTTGAAAGTGATAGGGAAATGGAAGTGTGAGGCCTATTTATATCATTATGGTCAAATTTGACTACCAGATCGTCATCCCCTTAAACGAAATAGGGTAAGTACATCTCATATATATGATCTAATTTGTAGTCTCAAATAACTAATTAAAAAGGAAAATATAGTGGGATTGTTGATCAAGCCAACGTTTGTTTGCCATTTCCCTTGGCGACAATACTTATTTTTGGTATAAGTAGGTTTTTGCATCGGCTTTAGCGAACTAGAAGTTGTTTGACCTTATTTTCACAACTCCGTCATATTGGTAGGAAGACTTAGAGGAACGCACCTAGTCCGGAGTTCATTGTATGCATCATCATTTCCAGAATAGGACCGTTGACGTAGTACATTCCCAGACATTTCGCCAGCATCGTAGTCGGCATCTTCAGTGAGTCTCGCCATTCGTAGCACCATATTACGCTGCCGGAGAAATGTCTGGGAATGTACCATGTCCACGGTCCTATTCTGGAAATGACGATGCATACAATGAACTCCGGACTAGGTGCGTTGCTCTAAGTCTTCCTACCAATATGACCAAGTTGCGAAAACAAGGTCAAACAACTTCTATACAACGAAAGAAGACTCCGAACACACAAAGGCCACACCATCTTGGTCTTCATACCTTTAGCGAGCTAGGCTAAATTAAAGGAATACTCGAATTCTATTTTTACCAGAAATGACGAGTATAGTTGAAGATATGAAGACCAAGATAATGTAGCCTCTGGTATATTCGTAGTCTCCTTTCTATTTCTAGAAATGGGTTTACCTCATTGTCGAAACTTGGTATTGTTGTCAGGGCGAATTAATAGAACGCACCTAGTCCGAAGTCATTTGAGAAAGTACCAAGTTCACTGTTAGATGCTGGAACTCATGACAACTACTATGGCAGACGACATCGGACTAGGTGTGTTCTACTAAGTCGCCCTGACAACAAGACCAAGTAGCGATGACGAGTGTATGTTTGCCTTATGGCAATTCCACTTTAAATGTGAGGTAAAAGGGCTCTCGCCTGCCCTCTGCCTGCCCTCTGCCTGCTTAGCACCTTTTCACCGGGATCGAAGGAAATTGCCTCGGAAACAGCGTCAGCATGAATCTTCCC